TTAATTTATAGGAACACCCTGTTCACTGCGAGTCTAAATTGGCACAATTCTCATTTTGCTCTCCCAAGGCAGTAACAATAATAAAGAAATTATAGTGTAGTTGATGTTGTTTGAAGTTATTATTATTATTGTTATTGTTGTTATACTGAAAAACTGATTTGAACAAATTTGGTTTTTGCTTTGTTGTTTTGATAAAATCTGATTGGATGATTGGAAAGCAACTATCATCTAGAGGAGATAAACTGATTTCAGTTTTTTGAGTAGAATTTTTTAAAAATTTTGAAATGGCACAACAAATATTGCTACTGTAGAGTTATGTGTGAAGATTGACTTAAAACAAACATTAGATCTTACAACTTTGTTTAAGTGTATTTTTTGGAAAGTATTTTGTTTAGAGAATATGATGGTATTGATGTAAATGATTTTATGATATAATAAGGATAAGGATGTGTGCAAGAAAACAAAAAAAAAGAAAACTGCTATGGGCCTTTCTTTATGCAACTGAAGAATAAGCAAGCCTTCCAAACTTGAATAGACTTCAATAAGAGGTCCCATCCCACTGTACCAGTTGTCTTGAATGTTCTTGAGTTCTTGAGTTGAAGCTCACTTGCAATAAAGAGTGTAAAATATTTTTTTTTGCTTAAAATTATCATAAAAGAAAAATTTTTAACAAAACGGATGTGATCAGAAGAGAGTTTTAATAAAAACAACTTCTATATATTAAGTAAACTTGTTTCTTATAATAAATTCTATATATGGATAAATTTTTATTAAATTCAAACAAATTTTTATTAGTATATTTAACAATTTTTTTCTGAATAAAAATTTTTTAATTTTTTTGTTAAAATTTTGATATCTATACGATTTTTATAACCATTGTTTTAATAAGCAATTTGATATTAATAAAGTTTGTTCAGCATATATTAAAGTATTTAAATATAAAGTTTTATAAATTTTCACCTAATATTTAAAGTTTTATTTAATAAAATATACAGTTTTTTAAAAATAACAAATTTTTATATTTTTATATTTAATTATAATTATTAATTGATCTTAATTAATTATCAATAATGATTACATATAAAATTTTTTTATTATTATAAAAACTTAATTTTATATACTAAGTAAAATTATTCTTCAATATAAAATATATATTCTGTAAAATTTTTTATTAAATATAAATAAATATTTAATATTGAATTTTATAATTTTTGTTAAAATAAACTTTTTTTATATTTTATTAAACAAAAATTTATGAAACTTAATATTTGAATACTTTAATATGTGCCAAACAAAATTTATTAACATCAAATTGCTTGTTAAAACAGTGGTTATAAAAATTATATAAGTATCAAAATTTTAATAAAAAATTAAAAAATTTTTGTTCAGAAAAAATCATTGAATGTAATAATAAAAATTTAACTATATATAAAAATAATTATAAAGAATAAGTTTACTTAATACATAAAAGTTGTTTTTATTAATAAAATAAAAAGTTTAATATATGATAACTATTTTCATTTAATTATAATAATTCATAAGTGGTTTTTTATTTATTGGAGAAGACTGTATATTGTTTTAAACTTTTTTTTCAATATTAGTCATATAATTACCATAGGCAAGCTAGTATTTAACTCATTGTACTAGTATATGAGAGATGTTGTTTCTTTCACGATGTATATCTTATTATATACAAATTAAATAAAGAAATAATATTTATCTACAAAAAAAAAAAGATGGTGCAAGGTGGATTTGAAATAAAAAATTTTTAATATGAGATATATAATATATAAGTATATGTTGAAAGTTATGTCCTAAAATATATTTTTTTCTAGAATAATTCTTGAAACAAAAAAAATATAGCCTGTAATAATTTTGAATTAATTAAAATGATTTTTAGAGTAGTTATTCTAATGTTTTAAAAAGTCTTGACAAAATTTCAAGTTACTTATTTTTTTATTTTTTTATTTATAGATATGTATATATATTATATCAAGTATATATATTGAATAAATAGATAGAAAGTATAAAAGAACAAAATAAAAAAAATTTATGATTCTTTCTTTTATATTATAATCTGTTCTAATAACTTTTTTTTTCTTAGAACAAAACCAGGACAGATTTTTTTTAAAAAATGAGCAGATTTATTTTAATTATATTTTAGAATAGTAAACATAAGTGAAATCAAAGTATATTTTTAATACTAATATACTGTATATCAAAAATTTTAGTAATCAAAATTGACATACATATTGAATAGTATTAATTAATATTATATTTAATAGCTATTAGATTATATAATTAGATAGCAAAACCTGATAGCATTTATGTGATATATTTAGTATAATCAAATAATATATATTTATATAACATATATATAATAAATTAAATAGTATATCTCTAATTAATTGTTTTTATAAATAATATGCAATTACAATCAGATTATTAAATTTATAATAAAGTCAAAATTATGAGATTAACCACATATCTGAACAAAAATAATTTAGGCTAAATGGAAATAATATAAGTATATTATTTTTATTGATTATGATAAAGTCAGAATAAAAATTTTATTTGAAATTATAATACATATCATAAAATATTTATTTGAAATATATTTTAAATAATAAATAGATATGAATTTTGATTAATATCAATTTATAAATTTTTTAAAAGATTAATATAATAATATTAATAAAGTATTATATATTAAAAAAAATTTTTAATAAAAGATTTTTGCTTTTAATTATATAAAAGCAAATCTTGTTTTTTATTAATTTATAAAAATGCAAATGGTTTATATTTTTTTTAAAAAAAAATGATATTTTTGAATAGTATTACTGTTCAAAAATATATATATATATATATTTTATTAAAAATTAATAAAATTATTTTTAAAAAAATTTTATATTTCAATTAATAAAAAAATCAATAAATCAAAATCACTACAATATTTTTGTTAAATATTATTAAATGATATAATTAACATTATTCTTAATTTTCAATTAAAAATCTTTTAAGAAATTTATTTAAATTTTATAAAATCAAATAAATATAATGAATTAAAATAATAAAAAATTTAAATGTTATATTAATTTGTTAATACAAATTACTGGATTTTGATCCACGTGACTGCCTATACAAAAATTAAATCGAGTATCGCAATACAATATACTGTATGGTCAAAGTTACCGAGATTTATATTAAAAATCAATGCATACGACCAAGAAGTAGAACGATGGAACGTCTGCTTTTGAAATTGCAAATTATTGTTTTGTAGGATGAATTTTGTGCTACCTAAACGGCCAGGAACATCATTTTAGAATGAAAATGAACCGAACACGAAAACTTGTGACGCTGTACGTACGTACCGAGCAAAACATATTAGTCACCGCCTACATGCATCATTCTGAACATAATTTTGTGGATTTGCACTACACAATGATCTCCAGATGTTTGCACATTTTTAAGAGAGATACGACGATAACATAGCGATAAATTCGATGTAATGTACAACGCTGTTGCATGAAATCACTAAATTACAATAGGATGGCAAAATCTTCGCAAATGCGTAACTTCCGCCATCGACATAATCGAGAGATGATCATTAAGCGATGGGAAATTTCTTTCTATTGTTGCGAGGAGATCTTAGCGGCTTCTTTGCTTGCTCTACACTCAACATGTTTCCCTTGACCTGAACGGCGCCAACACTGACAGCATTGTGATAGGCGCTTGGAGATGAGAAGTTTGCAAAGGCACATGACTGCACATTGAAGTGGATTGATCAATTGATATTAAGCATCACCCTATACATGTAGTTCCGTTTGCGTGCATACCTTCCCAGGGATAAAGTCGAGCGCTTCAACCGTGCCGAACGAAGTTTCGAGAATTGTCTTTAAAGCATCCTTGTCAATGTCGTCAGTCAGAGGTCCGATATAGGCGCGATAATAAGAACGATTGGCAACTAAACAACAGGTTGATTGATTTTGGAGCTCGTGTGAACTACATACGTACTCATGTAAGAAAATAAGGAAAAGTTACCTGATTTCCCGCTAGCTGGACGAGCGGTCAACAAAGCCTCATTTTCAAAGAAGGAAGTAGTCGTGGGGTAGTTGAAGTTTTCACCTTGAGACAAATCTTGAATAAGTTCGAATTGACATCTGGCGATTCGTTGAAACTTTTCAATGATCACATCCTTCTGATCGATTTGAGATTGAAGCGAGCTACAATTGCGACAACCTTTTATGCTCATCTTCCTCCTTTGATAAGAGTAAATATAAATATGGACGAGTTTTTTTTCGCGAGAGAGGAAAGCCACCAACTAAACCAAGTTAACCCGATCGGTAAAAAAATCAATGTCTTTTATATTATTATTGCGTATATATTGGATGATAAAAAAAAAAAAAAGAAAAAAACGATTAGTCAGATCATTTAACAAGTCCGGCATGAATTTGATTAATACAACTCCCCTTTATTAATAATGAGCATACGGTATTTCATCTCCGCAAAGAATTAAGGAAGATTAATCTTCACATGTTGAACTTTTAAACTGGTACAGTAGTTGAAATTATTGATTGACCAATTTTTAAAATTAATTGTTTTTTAAAAAAAAAAAAAGCACGCACTAATCTTTAAATAGTAAATTGATATACCGAGTGCTTTCTCTTTAATTTTACGAGGATCCCATTAAGCTAATTCAGTGTTTATTTTATGTATGAGCTTTCTCAAATTTCAATAATATCTGACATTTTTGTAGTTATACCACTACGTATAAACTCTCTCAAGCATGCACTCTTCCCAAACGAGATCGAGGCAAGGTAGGACATATGTACGTACATATGTACGTGCATTACACATGCGTACACCTTATTACCATGTCAGCATACGATCAGACGATAATTAATAACAATACGTAATGGATACGTTAGTAGTCACGAGTAAAACGATTACGGATTTACTCGTTTATCCTAAGAAAATTTCTCCGGAGCAAGCCAAAAGATTTTAGAATGGGATTATTTATTGATGATTCATTAAAAATACGTATATACGGTATACACTTATGCGCAGTAAATATACTGTAAACATGTAATACGGTGCTATTCACCGATCGGTGATCCTTTATTAATTTGACGGACATTATTTAGCTGATCCAGACCTTGTGCGTACATCATTTTCTTCTCTTCTCACTTTCAATAACTTTCGGTCAAAAAATTTAAAAAGAATTTCACATTCACGATGGTTTTATATCAAGATATTCTTAGTCAAGTGTTTGAATGTACACTGAATGATTCAAGGGTTGATTTATTGGAACGGATTTTCACTTTACATTCATGCATCTTGGTAAATCGTACTTGGTGCACGAGCGGATATCAGATTCTTTGGCGAGAACCATTCACCCTCTTATCCAAATTACGCTGCGTCCAAGGACGACATACATCACTCACCTCGACCTACCTAAAATGTTTGCCCGAAGATGTTAAATTTCAATTTATCGAATCAAGGGCAGGCGGATTGATTTCTTTAAATTCACCAGCGTTCGATTATTCGAAGGCCCTGAAGAAATTTTCATACGTTGATTTCCAGCATTCCATATTTCATTGGATAAACACACACATTTCATCCGACATAAGCAATCTGATTTTTGATCAGGAGTTTGTTTCTGGGATTCTCATAAAGCATCTCATGCAACACACAAAACTCAAGCATCTCTGTTTTATTCAAGTGAGTTCGGAGTGTGCATTCGAAGAATTTTTGCCCCACATGAATTATACCGACATCACAAGATTACCTGGAGCCGTCAACTTTTTTGAAAGCCTCACAAGCCTCGCCTCTTTAAAAATTCTGAGCACATCTCTGCTGAATGGGATTGCAGGAATTTGTCATTCAATTGACACACTGTGCATTGATTGTGATGAGACAAATGATGAAGGTTGGGCTACTCTGATTAATGCACAGAGCAATCTAATCAATTTAAAGATTACAGCAAGGAACACAAATCATCCTTTGATCAGGAGGGCTTTGAGGAATAAAGTGAACACACTAATCAGTCTGTCACTTGTACCAATCTACACTTCAATGGATACCTTTTTAAATTGTATTCAGCTTCGTGAACTGGAAATTGAGGAGACCTCGGAATATGCCACAAATACTGGACTATTTCAATTTTTCCACTCCACTTTTCCAAAACTCGAGAGTTTGTCTGTTAAGATCCTTTCGGTTTCCTATTTATTTCATTATCTCACCACATTCATCCGTAACCATTGCGGTTCACTTAGAGTTCTCAAAGTGACGTGTGTGCAAGGTTACCTGCAGGTCAAGAGGGAATATTTAGACTCCTACAGTGCAATCATAGTGGGATCTTGCACAAATCTGTTAGAATACACTGGTCCACTTTCAATAACAAAAATACCTTTATTGTTTAGGCAATGTAATCGACTTTTTAGAGTGAACCTTTTGAGCAACGAATTTCTGTCCATTAGCATTTGTGAAGAGTTGGAACAAATTGGCGATTTGTTGCCTCGGAATTTGGCCCAAATCAAAATTCCCAGTGAATTCAAGTTTACGACTGATGCACTTAGGCGATTCCTACAGTCCTGTGAAAAGAGGTCAGTCCGAGACCTCGAATTTGACGTTTCGAGGTATTCGAGTGAACTGCAAATCATTCTTGATAGGTACAAGATGAAAGGTGTTTTGAACAAGAAATGGGTAGATGTTTCTTTAAATTCGCTCGTTCTATTTTCTGTATGGATATCAGATCTAACATTCTGGAAAAAAAAAAAAAAAAAAAGAATTTTTAAGTTTAAAAATTATAGGCCAAAAAGACTTGGTGATCGCCTCACGATTATTTGTTTCATACTGTATTCGTGTTGGCCATTAGATCACCTAAACGTCCCGTGTAGTTCCCGTCGTCAACTTTGAACGGAATACAATTATTATTATTTAAATGACCCTTGAAAGTTCTTTTTTACATTCCGCATCCACGCTAATTTTTTTGTCAATCTGGCACGAAAAACTTCTACATTGAAAAGTAGATTACAGTATAGGTGATGTGTAATTGAAACTTTTGAGGTGTACCAAAAAACATTACTGTACAATAAAAACTTCCACCGAATTGATCATAGATTACATAAAAGCCCAATAGATATTTGCTACCTACATTTGATCTCTTCCAAACACCTTTGAATCAACTGTTTACGAGGCGACGGGTTTCGTGAGATCTTGGCAAGAAAAAAAATTACGTGATATACAAATCTATTTTCACCTGAATTAAAACTCATTTGTAAAAGAAGCACGAATATCGTCTTGAATTTTTCAATTCGTATATAAAGTATATTTGCGGAAGAGGTTGGGTATTTAGCATACCAGAAAAATATAAATATAATGTCGGAGAAAGTTATCAAGTTATACTGAATTGTCTCAAGATCGTTTTAATTGTTCTGCAAGCACATTGTACGTACACAAATACTGCACACTGACAATGTTTCATAAAACAATGCTAACTAAAAATAATTAATAATAACAATCATGACTATATTTATAAAATTTTTCGTAAAGTATCATTTAAAAATGTTCATGAAAAAGAAAAAAATTTTGGAATAAACAATAAAATCACTGGATCTTTAGAAAGTATGTACTATATACCACTTGATCTCAAAAAAACAATGCATTTTTCGCATTCAATATTATTACTGTATACTGTACTGCTTACGATTCCAATGCAATTGATATGTTAAGCATGCTTCATTTGATTCATACAGCATACAATATGTTTATTACAAATATTTAAGATACCATATCTTATGCCTTGATCTTGATTTTATAACTTTTATACACGTGTATGCATAATAAAGAAAATGGGTTTTTTATAAATAAACATTACAGCATCACTTTATTGAATATGTTGAAACGATTACATACAAAAAGAATAATAATATCTTTCAAATAAGAAGTAATGATACAGTATCTATAAAATTAATATAAATTAGATTATCATATTTAAAAAATAAATTTTAAAATACTCAAAACCAATTATAATGGCTTAATATAATTTAGCAATAATAAGAGTAAATAAATTAATAATAATAGTGTGAAAAGTAAAATCAGCAAGTTTATTACTATGTTACAATTGTCAATCAAAATAAATGTGTTAAATAATATAATGAGTTAGTGATTAAAAAAAAATTATTGTTGTTTTTATTGCTCTGTACAATTCTCTTGTTTTTATGTATAAAAAAAAATTCTAAAAATATTAAAAACTTCTCAAATTTCAATTATATATTAATTAAACAAAGGTATTATATGACAATATAATTTATTTTCTTTTTATTCTCTACAATATACTATATATAAACTTTTCAAAAAAAACAATAATATTTAAATGTTATTGATATTTATTTATATACAATATATTATTAATTGTTAATTATTTTCATAAAAAAAAATTATTATAAAATTTCAATTCACATCTCTACTTACTAAGTTACAAATCCAAAGTTTTTTTTTAATACAAATTTTTTTGAAATTATATACAAGCTTCTTGTTTAAATTATAATAACATGTTTGATCTTTTAAAATAAATGATAATATAAAATTGCTAAAAATATTATAAAAGATTACAATATACTGTACAAAAATTTGAAAATATAAATTTGAAAAATAAATAAATATTAATTTTAAAAATTGAAAACGTGCTATAAATTTTGAAAAATAATTATTGATTTAATTATCGAAAATGTAATATAAATTTTAAATATAATTAAATAGAATGATAATTTTTAAAAAAAAAATTTTATATAGAAATAAATTTATTTTTTAGTTTAATTTTTACATAATGTAATATAATTAATCATTTTTAATTATGTTATAAAGATGTATGAATTTTTTGATTTTTTTTTTAAATATATATATATATTAAAATAAAAAAATAATGTTGAACTCTCTTTTTATTTGTAACAACTATTTATCACATATAAAAAATATTTATATAATTTACACTGTGGTCTTTTTATTGTGCGTATTAAATTATTACATTATTATGGAAAACATATTCTTATTATAAAGATTTTGGTTTTTTAAGTGATCAAATTAAATATTTAATAGAATAATTTATAAAATTGTAATTAATTTAATATAAATGTAGTATAAATGTAATATAAATGTATCAGTCATGATTTGATTCGTACGGGCTATTTGGACCTAATGCAAATGCGCAAGATATATTTCTATATGAAAATCTTAATTCATGTCATATTTTTCCAATAAATTTTCACCATTAACGGATAATGCGTATCTGGAGCATAATGTCCTTCATCATTTGCTTTCAAATTATCTTCATGGAAACTCCACACCGTCTCATCATATCTTTCTAATAGCTCCACACAAAGATCACCTTGAGTCTCCACTAAAGATATGAATGCATTTAGAGAATCACCACGATGAGGTGCACACATCAGAAACAGTCCTGAGTCCGAGCCATCGGTGGAAGGTTTTTTGAGAATGGAACGAAGAACGTGTAAAAGATGCGGGTGTGTTGATTTATCGAATGTGCTTTTATAAAGATTTTAAATATATTAATAAATAATAAAAAATATTTCATTTGAAAGATTTAAACTATGGAATTTTACCAATCAGCACAAATCACTACATCGTATGTGTCCCTATATGTAGATTCTGAATCCCATAACATTTGTTTAGTGCACAGATCCACACTCGAGAATAGGTCAGTGTTTTGGTCTATTATTAGTTGAATATGTATTAATAAATTAGAGAGCTAATGTAATGATATTTAAATACGAGTAATAGTAATGCAATAAGGATACGAGAAATCAAAAGGATATTTTTTATGCAACTCGGATTTCCATCTGTCAATAGAACACTCCTTGGGTGGCATTTTGCGGCTATTGCCAGACCAGAAAGCGAGCACATACCGCCACCTACTTCGCAGACTGATTTGTTTCTAAAAACAATTTGGAGATTTTATCTTCGGCCATAGAGTTTTGACATTACCAAAATGACTCCTTCATACCTAAATAGCTCGAAATTTTTTAAGCAATAATGGGCCAATACCTCTTCAGCAGGCCAAATACATATGTTACCGGTATTTAAAAACCCAGAATATTCGGAAAAAAGAGCATTTTTGAAATCCAATGTTTGTGGAATTGTTACGCTAAATATATTATTTTATATAAATTTAACTCCCTTATTTAATAAAAAAAATATACTTGGGGGCAGAGAAGTACGAACCGAACATTCAAACAAACATCGCCTAAATCATAGGAAATCCATTCTTCGTTTTCTTGTAAATCAAAACTTATTTCCCTGTTTTCTTTAGCTATATCATTACCTATCATTCGATTACAATAACTATTGTATGGCAATTGAATTTTTTGTTTTGGAAACAGGTTAAATCCTTGATGAGACCTTTTGGAAACTCGTGAAGAAATGGGAGTAGGATTTTGAAAAGATTTACTCGAAGAATCGTTAAAAAATATTGAAGAAAGTAACTTCCATCTTTCCCTTGCAGTTGTTGAATTTGTTGGGTTGGAATTTGAACTAGAATTTGAATGCATATTATCTAAGATTAGATGTTTATGTTCAGATCGATTTATATGAATTTCAAAATATTCAAAAAGGAAATGATATACGTATGATAACTTTAATATAAGATCCTTTATCGTTATACTGTAGAATTGATTGTTAAATACAGTAGAACCTGTCTATAGTCATGCTGTCAGTCCAATAGTAATTTTTTAAAAAAATATTCTTATATACATGTTATTCCTATGTACAGGTTTGATTTAATATGATTTTAATATGTTTTATATTAACTTGGGCCAAAATAAAAATACAATTATAAAAGGCTTTTTATTATATATTCTTATATACAGTACATGTTGATTATAGACAAGTTCTACTATATATAGTAATTGTAATATTGTTTATATATCAATAAAATTTATAGACCTTTGGATCTATAGCATAGTGATCAGTGTTCCAGAGGTCATATCACAAGATTAGGGTTCAATTTCTTTAAGAGGATATTGTGCTATTTCTTGAAAAAGAAGATTTTTATCCATTGGCTTAACTGTAAAATAACAGATGTTTCTAAATATAATAACTAATTTATATAAATATTTTGACATAGTTGATTGTCCAAAGTTAGCTAAAGCCATTCTTGACATCACTGCATTATTTATAAAATAATAATAAAAAGAGTAGATTCAAAATTGGTAGCATATTGCTAATAGACTTGAAAAGAGAAAATCTTAACACAAATAATCTCTTCAAGTAGCTTAAGCATGTGACTGTGCTAAGGTTTATAGACTTTATTATCAAAAAGCTTTGATAAAAGAAAAAATTTATAGATTATTCTTAAAAACTAAAAACAAAAATCCAGGATATTATATTTAACAATCTGATAATTTTAATACTTTTACAAAAAATTGTTTTAAGAAAAATTAAGATGAAATTGCATATCTTTCCAGTTTGTAAAAGAGCTGATAATAATTATATATAGCATCTGACCAGCTTAGTAAATATATAACTAAAAATATATAGAACAATAATATATTATAACACACACATATATAAATACTTATTAATTTAATATTAATAAAAAAGATAACCCTTCAAATTTACATACTTTTTACAAACTTACTTTTGCAATACAAAAAATCCAATTAACAAATTTACAATTTTCACATGTTAATATAATTAATACATTATTAATTCAATACATATTTACTAATCCTAATAACCATTTTATTTTACCAACTTATCAACATCTCAAACAAATAAACAAAACAATTTGATTCACAAAAAACATTTTTTTTAAATATGCAAAAATAATTTTAAACTTGATCTTTTGCTTCTTACAAATATTTTAATATTTCTAAAAAATATATTAAATTCAATTTCTCAATATTAATTCAAAATTTTTTTTGATATATTACTAATCAAATTACATATTCATATTACACTATTACAAATATACATTGTTATATATTGTTTCTACCTCAGAAAAAGATAAAAATAAAGAACTAGTAACAAGGAAATACTTTAGATGACAGGGGCCAATGTGATATGCTAAAGTTCTTAGAAGCATACAAATTGGTACAATTCTGAAGTGTTATGATCAGACGAAAGAGACAATTATTATTTGTTTGTAAAGATCAAGTTATTTCTTTAATAAAATATAAGTACAAGCCTGTCAATTTCTAAACAAAATTAAAGACTTTATATATATGTTTAAGAGATAATATTTTCATATATAATAAATATAAATTATAAGAAATAATAGATATATAAAATAAGTGTTATATTCATCAGAATAATTATTTGTATATGTTAGTATAGAAAATAATGCTCTGGCAAAGATAAAAAAATAAAGATAAGTAAGTAAAATAGAAAATATTTTAGAATAGCAATAATATGAAAAACATAGTTTTAAACAATAACAAGAATAGTAATACAAAAATTATTCTATAATGGGCAATATTTTAAGGATAAATACTAATGAAAATTGAACAAGAAGTAGTAATAATCTTGGGTAAAAATCAATTATAACAACACAAACAAGACATAATCATAATGCAACTTTTCTAGAAACTATATATCATATTTGACTTTATAATAAAAGTACAATTACAATTAAAAAATTTTCTCTAATATTCAAATATTCTAATCAACTTTGCAATAAGTACATTCTAACTTAAAAATTTATTTAATAATTTAAAGTCTATTTAACAAATCTAAAAACTCTTAACATAATTCAAAAAAATACATTTAGACTCATATATCTTTATATTTAATTTTCAAAAAACAAAGATATAATTGCAAAAAGGAAATTTCTTGATATACAGTATTATAAAATACTAAAACAAAAAATACAAAAAAAAAACAATGATAACAAAAGTTAGAACAAATCTATATAACATTAACAAAACACAAAAATTATTTTAATAATAAATGACAAATTAGCATAACAAAACAAACTAATTAATATAATACTTAAACTTCTTTCTCAGAATTTTTTTATATCTTTTTATAATATATTAAACTATTAAGGAGACATTAGTTCTTCAATATTAAATAGTTTCTTTTTTTTTTCTTTCTTGTTCAAGATTTTTTTTGAAAATATTTCTAATATAGTGATAGACTAATATTAGATATTACAATGGATTAAATCAGATCAAATTTTAGTTAAATTTGATTTAATTTATTTTTAAATATATAATTCTAATTTGAATTAAATATAATATAACTTGATTTTATTTGATTCAAATCTAATTCAAATCTAATTTTACTTGATTTGATTTATATCCAATTCGATTCATATCTAATTCAATTCAATTTAATTATTTTGTCAATATAAATTTTAATTAAAATAATTTTTATTAAAGTTATTTTTATTGAAATATATTTACTTTAATTTAATTTAAAAGATTGTTAATTAAAAATTTTTTATTTTTAAATATAAATTACTAATATAAATAAAATTTATTAAAATTATATGATACTTGAAAATTTTATATTTAGTTTATCTATAATTAATTATTGTTTTCTATATTAATATATGTTCTTTCATAATTAATAATAATATTATTATCATTATTTTATCAATTTTTCAAGAGCTTACAAAGTATAGAAATCTGTTGATAATTAATTATGTCAATAATCCATATAATATTTTTTTTCTTTTTCTTTTTTCTATTTTTTTATAGCTGCTATTGTTTTTTTGGCTAAATTATGAGACAGTCCACAAGTTACACTCTCTATTGACAATACTGTAATGCTATGTAATTTATTCTCAAATTAACAGTAAAGAGTATTTTTTAAAAAATATTAAAAATTTAAATTGACAATACTTAAATTTTTAAAAATTTAATCTTTTTTTAAAAAATACTTGTAATTTCTATTTTAATTCTCCATTTGGTTAATAAAAATTATCACCATTGAAATCTTCTTTCTAACAATCAAATTCATTACTATTGGCAAATTGTATTCCTCTCAAACAAGTTGCTACAATCATATGTTCTAAAAAATTAGTATTGATATATACAAACTTACTATATCTCCAGGTTATATAGGTCTCACAAATATCTAAAAAGAGTAATTTAAAAAAATTTTTTTGTTATTGTAAGAAATCATAATTTTCTTATGAACAGCACTATACTGGTTGCCATTCGATTGGAGAAGATCAAATTCTTCAATTTTTTTTGAATACATGAAGTTTTATTCTTGAAAAATATATTTATATCATAATTTAAAAAAACTGTTTGTTATTATAATATTTTTTCTTGCAAAAATTGTTTTCAGATTCTTGCAATTCAATAGATATTGTAACATGGGAAAAGATAACATACCTTACACTAAATTCTGAGTTCTGAGTTCTTCATGATATCAGGAAGAAAACAATAATATCAAGCACAATGAACATAATAGAAACTAGTGCGAACCTGAGAAGATAGGAACTGT